CAAAGACATGATAGAAGTTTACAAAGTTATGATAGAAGTTTACAAAGTTATGATAGAATTGGTAGTCAGAGTCTTTTTCCCAGGGAAGAAATTGTCAATAACTAGTGGACATAGGTTGAAGGTAAAAGTGGGTAAGTTTAAAAGAGATGTGTGAGGCAGATTTATCACACAGAGGGTGCTAAGTGCCTGGAATGTGCCGACAGAGGAGGTGGTAGAGGAAGACACATTTAAGATGCATCTTGACAGATAGATGACAAAGTAGGGAATAGAGGGACACAGACTGCATAGAGGCAAAAGGTGTTTAGTTTAGAAAGGCATAAGCTGTCGGGGGGGTCAGGAGAGATTTACCAGTGTGTTGCTGGGAATGGAGGATTTGAATTATAAGGAGAGGCTGGATAGGCTGGGACCTTTTTTCACTGGAGTGTAGGAGGCTGAGGGGTGACCTTATGGAGGTTTATAAAATCATGAGGGGCATAGATAAGGTGAATAGCAGGTTTTTTTTCCTTAGGGTGGGGGATTTCAAGTCTAGGGGACACATTTTTAAGGTGAGAGGAGAAAGATTTAAAAAAGACATGAGGGGCAACTTTTTTTTTACACAGATGGTGGTTTGTGTGTGGAATGAGCTTCCTGAGGAAGTGGTGGATGTGGGTACAGTTACAATGTTTAAAAGACATTTAGATCTGGCAGCTCATTGCATACACACACGACCCTTAGGTCTCATTTAAGTCTTTCCCCTCTCACTTTAAACCCATGCCCCTCTAGGCTTGGACTCCCCTACCCTGGGGAAAAGACCTTGTCTATTCACCCTATCCATGCCCCTCATGATTTTATAAACCTCTATAAGGTCACCCCTCAGCCGCTGACATTCCAGGGAAAATAGCCCCAGACTATTCAGCCTCTCCCTGTAGCTCAAACCTTCCAATCCCAGCAACATCTTTGGAAATCCTCACAACATCCTTCCTATAGCAAGGAGACCAGAATAGGAAAGATTTGGAGGATATGGGCCAGGAGCAGGCAGGTGGGTTTGGAATTATGGTTGGCATGGACTGGTTGGGCCGAAGGGTCTGTTTCCGTGCCGTAGGACTCTATGACTCTATGTGTTGGCATGGTTTTGGTGGGCCAAAGGCCTGTTCTTTGTTCTTCCATGTTTGATGGTGTCCATTAAAGTTGTACCAACCCATCCGGCTCACTAATGCCCACTGTCTGCAAGGAGGTCTGACACTCAGTCTGAGCTACATGTGACTCCAGGCCGTCAGACATTCATTGCCCTCTTCAAGTAGCTAGCCAGCCACCTAACTCAAGGATAAATAGGGGTGGGTACCAGCTCATGGCAATGCCAGCTGTGCCCAGATCCCATGAAAGAACAGAAGGAAATAAATGACGTGTCATTGTGGCTCAGTGGTTCCACTTCCAAAGGGACATTATGCTAAGTCTCCACTCGCTCTCTCAAGTGGATGTCAGTAAACTCCCATGCCTTGAGGAAGAACTTCACCATGTCTCAGTCCAAAATGGCCGCTCTCTTCTTCTGAGGCGGGTCCCCAGTTCTAGACTCTCCAATCTGAGGGAAGCAGCCTCCCGCTTTCCATCCTGTCAAACCCCCTCAGAGTCTTCCATTCATCGGTGAGATCGCCCCTCATTCTTCTAGATTCCAGAGGATAGGCCCATTCTACTCAGTATCTCCTCATACGAAGTAAGCCCATAAGGTATAGGAACAGAATTAGGCCATTCAGCCCATTGAGGCTGCTCTGCCGTTCAATCAAGTCTGATTTGTTTCTCAACCCCATTCTCCTGCCTTCTCCACATAACCCTTGACCCCCCCTTACTAATCCAGAACCTGTCTATCTCTGTCTTAAAGACACTCAATGCTTTAGCTTCCACAGCTCCCTGTGGCAATGTGTTCCACAGATTCCCCACCCTCTGCCTGAAGAAATTCTTCCTCATCTCAGTTCATCCCTTCACTCTGAGGCTGTGCCCTCGGGTCCTAGTCTCTCCGACCGGTGGAAACATCCTCTCCCCGTCCACTCCATCCAGGCCTTTCAGTATTCTGTAAGTTTCAATCAGATCCACCCCTTATCCTTCTAAACTCCATCAAGTACAGACCCAGAGCCCTCAACCCCTCCTCATATGACACACCAATCATCCCCGGGATCATTCTTGTAAACCTCCTCTGCGCCCCCATGCGTTTTTATGCCAAATATTGCTCTCTGATTTTATCAATAATGTTGAGGATTACCTTGAAGATATTGCAGAACACCAAGAAGATGATGTTGATCCTTTTGATGACCTAGATGAACACATTTACGGGCAATTTTTTTAAAAATACAAGACACAATATCCCAAATACCGCCAGAACAAAGCCTTGTACAGCCTCAGCAGTACATAGAATCATATTCAAAGAGATGTACAGCATGGAAACAGACCCTTCAGTCCAACTCGTCCATGCTGACCAGATATCCTAAATTAATCTAGTCCTATTTGCCAGCGTTTGGCCCATATCCCTCTAAACCCTTCCTATTCATGTGCCCATCCAGATGTTGTAATTGTACCAGCCTCCACCACTTCCTCTGGTAGCTAATTCCATACACACACCACCCTCTGTGTGAAAAAGTTACCCCTTAGGTCCCTTTTAAATC